AAGTTTATTACTGCCGAATCAAAAACTTACCGAATCGGCCAAACAATCATTCGGTCAATTTTTTATTACAACTGTTATCATAATTTCTGAAACACCTGATAAAAAATTGCCGAATGATTTTTCAGCCGATTCGATTAAATAGTGACTTCGGCATGATCGGTATATAAATTGTTACGTTTTATACATATAGATAACATTGTATATAATTTAAAAAAATTTATATTTTTTCGCACAAACTAAATACACTAAACATGTTGGACAAGTATTTAAACGAAAATTTAATAATATTGACATTTATAATGTTAAAATTATCAGTGGAACAAGTATCATATATAATGCACATGTCTCTTATATATAGGAATATAGGATGGAAATTTGCGTATAAGTTTCTGACATGTAATTTTTGTTGGTAAATAAACATCGGTCAAAACTTTTATAGAGCTGGCACACAAAGTCCAGTAATGTTGGCAAAATTTTTGTAATGCATGTCAATAATCAGCATTAATTGAATATCCATTATGCCGAAATAATAACTTAACTGGAACGGCCGAAAGATCATTCGGCAATTTTATCAGGTGTTTCAAAAATTATGATAACAGCTGTAGATGTTCCAGAGTTTATGAAAACAGCTGTAATAACCGGGTGGGTTTTTTTAAAAAAATGGCCGGACCTATTTAAAAGTTTCATGTTATGAGAACCAAGATATTAAATTTGTATAGGCATAATCAAAAATAGACTACGTATATAGTAAGATATTTTTGTATGCATAATTTTGTATAATGCAAACCCATAGGTTCAAACTTTTGGTAAACAGAATCACTTAAGTTAAATTGGTGGAATAATCGAATCCGACTGACTAATATGAAAGAAAAGTTTTTAAAATGCAATTTTTCAAAATTTTGAATTATATTAATCAAAAGAATCTTTTTATATCTCGTTCAAGAAGTTCTATTCTAAACAATACAAAACTTCATGTAACAGAAATAAACAACCATTCAAAATAAATTTGACTTAAGCTCAAATATCATACGTCAAAAATATTGAAATAAACATAATTCAATGGTTGAACAATTTGCGTCATTAAAGGACGATTATTCGGTTCACCATCCTAACATTTTGAATAAAGATTAATATATTGTGTGGGTGTTCCTGTGACTGGTTTTTCACGTAAACCTTGAACAATTCTAAGTGGGAGATGATAATCATAATTTTGACTAAATGGAGGACATCCATTGCTGGAAATCTACCACATCACAGTTCCAATATTGTATACATCAGACCTCTTGTCAAATCGATAATTTTCATCTTCAAATTTACGAGGATCAATAAAAGGAATTACACCATACAATTCTTTACTACTGGTTACTGCTGTAGTATTAAGATTTTTTGAAAATCCAAAATCCGAAATTTTAACGTCTTCATTATGAATAAGAATATTTGCAGTGTGCTAAATTAAGGACAGAGTGATTATAAATAACTTGAAATTATCAACACATATAACGATGAAATTAATATTATATGCTTTACCAAATCACGATGTATAATATCAATTTTATGAAGATAAAACATTCCTTCAGCTATTTGGCTCGTTAATGGGATTTTTTCCGGCCATTCTAATTTATTATTTCGTAGATATTCTCGTAAGTTTCCGTTATTTGCATATTCCATTACAAGATAGTACGTTTCTCTGTATCATCTATAATAAAAATTTTGAATCAAAATTTATAGCTTGCAAAAGCATGGTAATGTACAATTGTAAATAACATACTATGACTAACCCATAAAGTTTAATAATTCGATCATAATTAGATCTACTAAGTTGTTTTAGCTAAAAATACCATTATACCTTAGAAAGCAGATAAATAATCATCTTGCATAGATATTTAAATAATATATACCTCATTAAAAAAACTTTTGAGCCTTTTCATCCGTTTCTGATTGTGCTAATTTAATGGCTGGATGACCTAGTGAAATGGACTCTGCATGATACACTATTCCAAAGCCCCCATGTCTTAATGTTCTCTTATTTTTCAAACTATTACAACCAATTCGTGTTGTGTAACAACGCTTTTAAACAAGCTCTTGTGGCTTAGTCTAAATAAAATTTTACACATAAGTAAAAGAACAGGAAAATTATATTTATATTGACGATAAAGCGTGTACATTATTACGAAACTATATACTTACCCCTAGTGATTTAACTATTAGTGAAAGAATAGAGAAGTAAAATTTATGTGATAGAGAATTCTATTGACGATAAGATGTGTACATTATTTTTATGGGTAAATTATATACTTACGGACTAGTAATTTAACATGTAAGTGAAAAATCGAATAGTTTAATGGAGAATTCTATTTCGAATAAACTATATACTCACTCTCTAGTAATTTAACATGTAAGTAAAAGAATAAATAAGTATTAACAATTAAATATGTATATTATTTCATAAATAACTATAAACCTACTCCCTGGTAATTTAATATATATGTGAAGAATGGAGAATTTAGTAAAGATCTTTTGACAAAATGTGCATTATTTTACATCAAATTAGCTAGCATAAACTGTCAAGCTAGTATAAACTGCCAATCAAATTTGCATAAACTGCTAATTAAATTTGATTGGCAGTTGGTATTAATTGTACGTATATGCTTACCGTAACGTCCTGGTAAATTAACACATAAGAGAAACAACAGAGAAGTAATATTTAATAAAAGAATTCTATTGACAATAAAAATGTGTAGAGAACTACATTGACGATAAAATGCAACATTAATTAGTGTCGCGACTGAAGCTGGAAATTTAACTTATTTATTATTAATAATATGAAAAATTTAAAAATATATGTAGATTTTAGTAATTCTTAAATAAAGACCTCGATTTATAGCCTTGGCCGCGACAATTAATGAATAAACTATTCTTACATAAGGTTCAATAAGGCATTATACAGATAATAAAATATATACTTACAATCTAGTAATTTAGCATATAAATGAAAGTGCAGAAATAATATTAATACTTAATAGAGAATTCTATTAACAATAAATATGTGCATATGATTTTATGGATCAATTATATACTTACAAACTAGTAATTT